TTTGACCCATTTCCTCCAAGTCAAAAGAAACATTCGAGGTGCCACTGAAAGATGACCCTAGCTCTCCATTGAAGCACAAACTCAACTGATAGTAAAACCCATCACCAACCAGCTGGCAGGGTATCAGAGAGCGAAATGCTGTGAAATTGGGATATCTCTAGAATGAATCGCCTCAAGAATTCAAGCTGTATCTGTTCCTAAAAAGACAATTATGCCTGACATTTTATACGCCGCTTGCTCTTCCTGACTTAGAAAGATTCAGTGGCTGATTCAATGTCTGTACACACCATCAGTGGATAAATGACATTACAGCATCAGTAGTGTCGGATGGATGAACCACCTGTGGTCAGTAACAGTGGAGTGGATGAGGTCTGCATGGCAATACGATTGTGGTAAAAATGAAGAAAGAACACTCATCCACCCCAGACCAGCTGCTGCGCTCAAGTCAGAAAACAGAACAACACCTGCTGTTGAACTTCTATGACCAGAGGAAATATTCCCTGAACATAACCTGTACAGCATTCAGCTCAGTCAAACTAAACTAAATGTCTTTGAATGCAGGGATGAATTCATAATGCCTTGTAAACGTCAATTAAATTCCTAAAATTTAATTGAATTTATATTATGGCAGTAAATTTGAATAAAAAATTAAGTGAATAAGAGTAATTTCGAAAGTGCTGTTTTATTTGTATTTTTACATAATATGGTAGGTAAGATTTAAATAAGAATAAGAAAAAAGACTAACTTTAAATTGACTGTCATCTTTATAATCTAGAAAAAAAGCATTACCAACTGCACTCAAAACATGTGTTTCCCATTTCTTTGAATTGTAATTCAACAAAATCAAAAAAGTGAATGAATTGAAAGTGAAACAATTTGAAAGTGAGCGACAGGAAGTTCAACTGAAATCTGAATGAGAATGACAGGAAGTTGAATTTACTGAAAGTTTGTCTTGAGAAATGTTGTTTTCTAGTTAAAGATGACAGCTATCAACCCAATCTCATGGGAAACAACTATTTCACAAGACGGTAATTTTGTATGAATTTGTGCAATGGGAAACATTCAAACACGTGATTTTTTACAAAAAAAGTTATTGTGAAGACCCATAATCCCAACCCTAATCATAACCATAAACCAGCATATCATACAAAAATGCACAAATGAGATCATACGAAGATATATGAATTAGCCACCAATTTGACAAAACATAAAATAGTTACGAACTGCCATATGATTGTGTTGGTTATTTGCATTTCTTTGAATTCCAATTTATTTTCAGTTTCATTCCTTGTAGTTCTGCATCATGTTTTCAAACTCGATTGAATTGGAATTTAAAAAAGCATTTTGTGCTTAACCCTGATATCCTGTAGAATTTTGTTCGCAAACTACGTTGGTTTCTCATCATGATACCTCATCTAACTTATGGACCAAGACAATGACGGCTTAAGGAGGAAGTACAAGAAAAGTTTCATGCCTGAAAGCAGCAATTACTCACTCTTGACTCACTCGTTATCGTTTTCTTTATCTTTACCTCACTCCCTCTTTTTCCCTCTTTACCCCGGTGTGACTCCAGCCAACAAAGATCTCTAGAGAGTAACCCCGTCTTGCCCACAATACCCCCAGCTCCAGCTCACAGCCAGACCGGTACTGCAGGGCATCTGTCTGCCAGCTAATGGCCTCTAATTTAGTCCTAATAGAGAACGCAACGAACAGGCAGGAGAAAAAGAGGAGGTTAAAAAAATAAACACAAGCAATAGGAAGGGGAAAAGGGCAATTTTAGTTGAAAAATATTAATGTAATCAAGGCAAATTAGTGGGTTTGGGATAACATTCCTATGGTGCAGACTGTTTACGTTCTGGGGGAGCGGTGGAAAGTGTGGTGGGTTGAGGCAGAGGGGAGTCTTGTCTATCACACGCGTAACAACCCACAAGCAACATGTAAACATGCGCTTGTACACACATACCCATGTGGATGCCATTGAGGTGTCGTACACCCCATGACTGTCATCTCTGATGAGGATTAAAATGTTTCAGAAAACAAACATGTCCTGCACAAATTATATTAGTGTATTGAAGACATGTGGGAAATATAAGAGGGTGTTACACAACTGAAGCCTGTTGCATGATTTTTAAAACACTGAATGAAGGATGCTGAGGAAAGAGAACAGAGGATAATGTCAAAACATTGGAGGATGGATGGAAGGATGTCTTGAAAATATTTTTTTTTTGCAAGAATTAAGATGAAACTGCTAAGACAGAGGAATAGGATGTATAGAGAGTTGCGATAGGAAGTGAAGAGGATTTGTGGGAGCTGTCATTGAATTGATAGACTGTGTTGATGTCCTGTTTTCTTATGGGGGCAGTGTCTCTTCTGTTTTCCTCCTTGTTAGACACGCTTGAGCGAAAGGAGGCTGACCCTGGGGAAAGAGAGAGAGGACGAGAGAAAGAGAGAGAACTCATGCTGAGCTCTACTACTGAATACACACTACGCTGGGCTGGGATACAGCATGGAAACTCATTAGAGGCTCTAAACACACACACACACACACACACAAGACATTTTATGAAAAGAGTATAATTTGTGTCTACAACATTCTCCGAAGTGGACTAAACACACAAAAAAACTTCTGTTAAGTTTTTTGTGATCTTATATATTATTTAACATTTAAATAAAATAAAATATAATATAAACTTATTGTAGCACTTATAGTATAAGTATGTGGTCCTTTCAAGCTATTTTTCTCAATGAAAACTAACAAATATTATTGGGTAACATCAGGCTATCAGGTAATTTTCAGACAATATATGACATTCATGTTATAAAAAACAAAATTAAACTCAAATCAATATTTCATGTTGATGTATTATATTACATTAATTTAGACAGTATTTGAATTTAACACAACTTTCATGTTAGCATGGAAAAATATTTAATGATTAATAATCCATAATCCATCATCTTTATATATAAATGCCTTATTCATTCATATAAATGCCTCATTCATTCATCTTTTTTTTTAATACGTTATATGACAATTACAGAATTAAAAAAAAATGTAAATCATTTGTCACACTTATTTAGCTCAAAAGTATAGTCAACTTTAAATGACATCATAAAAAGTACATCATTGGAGTTTTTAAGAGGAACCAACTCTTAACATTGTTTCATAATTCGTTTTTTTCATGCTAGTCACAATCTTATTTTAGAATATTCCATTACATAAAACAGTAAGGAATTAAATCAAATATCTCAACAAATACTAATGATTACACCCTTTTTAATGAATTTTGTTTTCGATGACACTTAAAGATATTCTTTGTCTGATAGAATGTTTAAAATTATACGTAAATTTACTTAAAATGTCAATTTTCAAAACTGGAAAAAAACCTGGTTTCAAAACCCTGACTCACATTCAAACTCTTCTTGACTGTTTTTAAATGAATAGTAGGGAAGTATGCACATTTGGATGTGGGAAGTGTGTCTCCATCCACATATCTGCACGATAACACCCTATTCCCATGTGGCTGTAAGCTACTTTTTTGGCTGGCTAGCATGCACAGTAACAAACACGCTCACACACATTCAGACATTTTAACATTCTCCCTCAGGTGACTATGTAACAGGTCCTCCATGCATCTGTCACGGCTGTGAGCTGATTTACTGATGTATGTTTGCTGTGGCTAACGTTTGAAACTGCACTCCCATGTGAAGGAAGGAGACTCGGAGGTGTTGAGACAGTCTGGCACGGTGGAAAAGGTGGTCAGACATGCGTGAAACGATGCTCAGGAGAGTCCGGAGCGCAAACATGACCGCTTACAGACTCGGAACCTCACAGCTGGGGCTTTATCCCACTCACTCTACTCAAATACACTACAGCGTACTACACAGAATTATATTTCAGAGGACATATGGCTTTATGTCAGCTCTTGAGGAATACTGCATGAGGGTTTCATTTTTAAAGGGTCTACTTCATTTTTGGACATTCCGATGTGAAAAGTGATACAAAATTACCACAACAAATGCAAAAAGAAAATGGAAAATTGGCATTGCTTCACAAAAGTAAACTATTTGCAAAACTGCCTAATATTTTGGCCATGTATAATGAAATTATACTACACAAAAAAACAAAACAAGAGAAAGAAATCATGAACTGAACTAAAAGTCATAGAGTTCCCACTAGTGGTGAAATTCAGTACAGCATGACAAATGAGGGGCAAGGGAGGAATTTAAAATTTATTTCTCCTTGCCAAAATCTTGGCTGTGTTAGGGAGAAATATCCAGCATCAACCCAGTATAAATGTTGCACAATGTTCTGTGTCTATCAATAGGTATATCTTAGGGATATATAAACGAAAATGATGTAATGTAATAGAGTCACATAAAAATACAAGGGTCATTCATTGTCTGTGAATAATGACCAGGATGGCTGTGGCTGGTTTGGGTGAAATTGAAGACAGATGTTCTTGTGAAAACATTTCTTGGGTGGTGTAATTTAGGTCACCCTAGACGAAGGTGGGCTGGAGTGCGGGGTCAGTAAAAACAAAAGTCAAACGGTGAGCATGATGATCATGTTGTATACTTTCCAGCACCTTGCTGTTCTTGAAGCTTTATAGCATAGCAAATAAATCTATTACCCAATAGATTTAAGCCAGAATGCATATGAAACTGGCAGTATCAGATACTTTTGAGTTCAAATACCTGTGAAACGCATGCATTTATGACACACAGGGACACATTGAACATATGTAAATCTAGATTAAAGACACATCTCTTTGGCCAAGCATTCAAATAATGCATCTCATAATCTTGTACTGCAGTTATATCTCAAATGCACATTATTATTCTTTAGTTTGGGTTAAACAAATACATTTTGCTTGGTTGGAACAGCAGCTACGCTAATTATGTCTCTATTCGTTTCTCTGTTTTTGCCACGGAATTTTGCTTGGTTGGAACAGCAGCTACGCTAATTATGTCTCTATTTGTTTCTCTGTTTTTGCCACGGTTTACACAAGCTTCAGTCTGGATCCAGAACACCGGAGAAGAGATGATTGCAACCACTCAGAGGACCTCAGTTGATGCCAACCCTGAAACAACTACAGAACTACCACATTTTGCTATAAGTTTGATTGCATCATATAATAATTGCTGTTAATAGTGTTCATCGTCTGTTTGATTACGTCTTTAATTGATTTTTCCGTACATTTCTGCCATATGTACATTAACTGGCAGTCACCACTGATAAGCTACCACTAAATATTGTAGAAACTTAATTTGCTGTAAAGTTGCTTTGCAACGATTTGTATCGTGAAAAGCGCTATACAAATAAACTTGAATTGAATTGAATTGAATATGTTCCTAGTGACCTGTGTTAACATTCTACAATGAACGTATGTTAATGACAACAACAATCCATCTCTGTACAATTATCCAATTAGCATTGGTCCTTGCTTTGTTTATAGTAACCGGTGCTGACTGATCTCTCCTGAGAATCAATAAATGTGTTAAACATCACATTAAACATGCTTTTCAACACCTACTCATCTGGAACTTATAACAGTGCCGTTCTCAGAAATGACTCCACATATTCTTAAAGATAATTTACATTGTACCCAAAGAACCTCAACCTATAAAATATGTCACAAACTGTTTCTAACAAGTTCCTATAAAATTTATAAAGTATAGTCCAGTTAAATGTATTAAAATACTGATAATATACCATTTATATTATCTTAAAGGGGTCATATGATGCGATTTCAATTTTTCCTTTCTCTTTGGAGTGTTACAAGCTCTTGGTGCATAAAGAAGATCTGTAAAGTTGCAAAGACTAAAGTCTCAAATCCAAAGAGATATTCTTTATAAAAGTCGCTCACTCATCTCGCCGGCCGTTCCTCACTCTAGCCGCCGGCCTCCTCTCACTCTAATCCTCCGGCCTCCGCTCACTCAAGCCCACCGTGTGTGATGCTGTGTTTCGTTGTGAAAGCGAAACTTGTGGATACGCCGTGTTTCGTTGCGAAAGCAAACTACTTTGTTTGGCCTTCCAAAAGAGGATGATATCCGCTTCGTTCGCTTTCACAATGAAGCACACAGCGCCTTCACGACAGTGGCCCCTGCCTGCCGCCCCCCCCAGTTACTGTGGTCTAGAACCGCCACTGCTACAATGCCGGCTGTTCTGACTCACAGACTAAGTATGTTTTTTATATTGAAAGAATTTGCCACTGATGATTCAAACACGAGTTTTGGGCAGTGTAGAGAAGCGCTTGTTGTTTGTCATTTCTCCGATCACAAATGCAGACATGGTTTTATGTTTACGCGGCGCGATGCAACGCAACGCAAC